GCCCTCTGGCCTCACGGCCATCACAGGTTGCATCCCGCCCGGGACCTGCCCCTTTGGAGAACCAAGTGGGCAGCAGGTGCTCCCACCTGAGCTGATGGACACCCGCCGGCCCCTCCATGCAGCCACCAAGATGCCCGGGGTCATGTTGCCGCCAAGGCCTCCGGGCGGCGTGTCCCTCCCCAGGACGTCACTGCCTGGGCCGTGTGTGAGTCCGTCTTGAGGGGCGGAGGCCCAGCGCCCCAGTGTGTGGGCAGGAGCAGGAGGCAGGGCTCCCAGGAGGTGCTGAGTCCCCGCCAGGAAGCTCCACATGGGCCCGGATGGCCACTCGGGCCACCTCCACGGGAGCACACCTCAGAGCCGGCCTGGCCCGGGGGCAGGGCGGTACCACCCAGGGAGGGTGGGCCTCAGCCCACAAGCCCCTGGGACGGGGCCTGGTGACCAGGTCCCAGCAGGTGGGACCCAGCCTCCGTGGACAGAGGGGGACGTGGGTGTGGAGGTGCAGCGCCCTAGAAGGCCCAGGTCGGAGCTCAGGCCTGAGTCCCACACCTCGCCCTCACAGATAGCCCCTGCTCCAGGAGGGGGGCTGAGAGCCGAGAGCACTGGGTGGAGAATGCCGTCTGCCATGGGGACCGGCAGTGGACAGATGTCGGATCCCCAGGGAGTGCCCCTCGGCACGTCCCGCTGGGACGGAGGGAGACGCGGGCCCCGTGAGGCAGGGGGCGCACAGAGAGATGATTCCAAGGAAATGCACCTTGTAGCTTGGGCCGCTTTCGTTTTCTGTTTAATTTTCTGGAGCCCGTTCATTGTCTCTACTGGTGTGTGCGGTGCGTGTGGTGCGTGTGTTTAACGATAATAAAAGCTCCTTACACAACCCTGCCTCACGGAATCTCCCTGTGCTGGCGCCTCGTGAATCCACAGCCCATGGAGGCGTGCTGGGGGGCGGGGGGAGCACCCACTCCCAGAGCCACGACCTGCCCCCCTCCGCCTCCTTCTCCTCACAGCCCCCCGTTCAGCCAGCATCCAGCCCAGCGGGTGAGGAAGGCGGCCCAGAAACCAGGGGGCGCGGGAACCACACAGGCGTCCAAGGCTGGGGCAGGACTGGCCGTGAACAGAAACAAGACACTGAGTGGGGGTCAGTCAGCACCCACAGGAAGCGGGAACAGCACCCAGAGTATCTCCCCATCCTGGAGCCCGGGTCCCAGGGCAGGTCTCACAGGCGGGTTCCACCGAGGCCTCTGTCCCCGG